TCCTTTTCTTTGGGGTTAGGTTCCCCTAGGATGGAACCTGGGCTGTGGATGATATGGAGATGAGCCTCTTTGAATTAAATAGGTTAATCTTCCTGGGACAAACATAGGAACCTTCATAGGGCCCTCTATTTGGAGCTTTTCCATTTTGAGAGGACCTGTCAGAAATTCCACTCTCCTGGCCTAACCTTAAAGAACCCAGAGTCACCTCTGTGTTGTATTAAAATATCAGAAGAGAATCTTATATAATAAATATTTTAGGAATGTAATAAAACATATGGGCCCTGAAAGGAGCTTACAGTCTGATTGTAGAGAGGAGACACGCACAGAAAAATATAAGTAGTAATATAAGGTGGCAAAGGTGTGCAAATGTGTGGTGCAGGTGGTAAGTGCCCCAGGAATTCAGAGAAAGGCAAGAATACTAGATGTGGAGTGCTAAGGAAGGCTTCACAGGAAGGGTTGAAACTTGAGCTATGTGTTAAAGGCTAAGTAGGATTCCAAAAAGGTGGAGAAAAGTGAGAGGGCCCTCCAGGCAGGGAAAAATATGTTGTTGTTCAGCTGTGTCCAATTCTTTGTGACCCCATTTGGGATTTTCTTGGCAGAGATCTTGGAATGGTTTGCCATTTCCTTCTCCAGATCATTTTACAGATGAGGAAACTGAGGCAAACAGCATTAAGTGACTTGCCCAGGGTCACACAGATAGTGTCCAAGGCTGCTTTTGAACTCAGGTCTTCATGACTCCAGGCAGAAAGCTCTACCCACTGCATCATCTAGCTGCTCAAAAAAATGGTGTAAAAGCATTGTGAAAAAGTAAACAATGAGTAAAACTGCCTTTGGCGAGAGCAGAGGGTCTGTGTAGGAGAATGATGGGAAATGAGCTTGAAAATGTAGGCTGAGGTAAAAATGACTAGGAGATCTTAAAAGTCTAGGTAAGGAATTTGGACTATGAAAATAATCCCTGATAACAATATAGTGCTTTACAGAGTATAAAATATATCACATCCATTGAGAGGAAATATGATATAATGGATAGCAAGCCAGTCTCAGAGTTAGGAAGACTTGGATTCAAGTCCTGCCTCTGACAAATAATAGCTTATGCCCATGTGTAAATTACTGAACTTTCGAATGCCCCAGACAACTCTCTAAAAATATATGTTGCAGAATAGTTGCCTGTCTGGATTAGTAGAAGGGAGTTCCTTCACTAGGAGTTCTCTATACCAGTGAAATTACAGGTCTAAAACATCCCTTCCCTCTGCTCCCTCCAATATATATCCATTATGTCCTTTTTTTTTTAACAGCCCTCCTGAGAGATAAATAGTACAAAGTAATAAATACACCAATGCATACAAATACATGGGTGGCCAGACTATTTGTTTATTTCATAGGCATCGTTTGGTTTTTAAGACGAGAAGAATTTTGCTTAGACTTTAGAAATCATATAGTTCAACCCTCTCATTTTACAGATGAGGAAACTGAGGCCTGAGAGGTTAAGGAACTTAGCCAATGTTTACAAAACAAGTTTATGGCAAAATTGGCACTATCGGGTTTCCTGATGATCAGCCCAATGGTTTTGCTGCTGTCCTTTGCTGCTTCCACATACCTGGAAAGGAGTAACTCAGCAGAAAAGACTATACCAGGGCCTGATGTCCTTGTAAGGGTCTGGGATTTTATTCACAGTCTAAGTCTGACTAGTTCAAAGACTTAGCCATTTCATCTTATAGCATCCCAGTTTACAGACAGACACAGTAATGCCCATCATAGCACAAGTGCCTCCATTAACTATGTGTGCTTGGAGATGCCGCTTTGTAATGTACCTCCATATTTGGAAAACAATGTTTTTTGGTCTGTTGCTAAATGGGTTCCAGACGGACAGAGAAGGACCAGAGGCAAGTCAGGAGGGGCTGACTCACAGGAGTGAGTCAGAGACGGGTGAAAGGAGATTTCATTGCCAGCAGGGTGAAAACTAAAGATCAACCAATGTAGTGGACGCACAGGCTCCCTCCTCAGCCATCCTAGGGAAAGGCAAGCTCTTGGCAACCGTTCACTGGACGACTGGGTTGTTAATGTTGTTGCTGTTCTCAGACCTCTATCAAGGGAGTAAGCAGAGTCAACTCCTGTACATGGGATGGGACAGAAGCCAAGGGCTGGATGTGTCTGTTGCATAATCCCACAGCATGAACTCCATCAGGCCCTGCTCTTCTGGTTTGTCTAAAATGTCCTCTTCTTGTACTCCCTCTCAGCCACGAAAACTATTATTAGTCAGCCAGAATCAAAAGGCAGGAATTACAGCAGTTGAGGCAGGGAAGAAGAGAGAAAGGTACGATAAGCGTTTATTAAGCCCCTAGTACGTGCCAAGCACTGTGCTAGGCAGTAGGGAAATAAATATAAAAAAATGAAACAATCTTTACTCACAAGTTGCTGACTTTAAAAGTCTTTCTTAATCTGTTGTGGTGGAATGAGGGAGAACTTGAGTAATTGAAATTCACAGATAATTCCTAAAATTCATTTTAATCGGTAATTTCAATCTTCCTAACAAGGTATTTCCATCAGAAGGACTCCCAACCAGCTAAATTGTTTTCTTTAGGTTTTATCCCCTATCCTTATCCCTACTTAGAAATGGATATATTAGAGAGCATGAAAATACCTCTATCGGGGAGATAACTCTAATAAAAATAATACATAACAAATATATTAGGTGTAAAACAAAAGTACTACCTGAGAGGTTGGTGGAGGAAAAAAGATCTTTATTGACTGAGGGGATTAGGGAAAACTTCATGAAAAAGAGAGCATTTGAATTGAGCACTAAAAGATTGGTAGGAAATCATCAGATGAAGAGGAGGAAGAGCATTCCAGCCATAGGGAACAACAGAAACAAAGTCCGGGAGGGGAGGGAGCGCAGGGCATGTTGGGGAAAACTTAATTTTTCTGGCATGCCAAAGCTATAGAGACAAATGACATGCAATAAAGTTGAACAGATAGGATAGTGTCAGATTACCAAGGGCCTTGAATGTCAAACATTTACGTTTTACTCAGTAACAGAGAGCAACTGAAATGAGTAGAGAAGTGACAGAACCAAGTCTAGAGAGAATTTGGCATGTCAGTTCCAAAAGGTTGCTGATATCTTGCTTAATGCACTAATTCAACCCTGTTGTAGAATGTAAACACTTTGAGGGCAGGAACTATTTTTCATTCTATCATTGTAGCCACAGTATGCTTTTTGGGTTGTGTTGGAGTCCACAAATAATAGACCTAATGTTCTCCATCCTAGGCACTTAAGGTACATATTAAAGATTAGACACAGTCCACTGGTGTCAAGAAGTTTGTGATTGGGCAGGTGATGAGGTAGCCAATGATCATTCATGTGGAAAAGTCTTAAGTATTTTGCTGTAATTAATGCTATGGAAGGCTTAAGAACTTCATAGTCCTTACCCTCTAAGAGTTTACAGTCTCAGACAAGAAGCAATGTAGACACACATGCACAAGTCAAGGAGATACTAAAATATTCCATTTCTATTCCATTTCCACACTTTGTTTTTTGCCCCAGAGTTGGGACTGGTAAGGAGTCTTGTTATAGATCAACATTAACAGCTCCTCACTTCAATTCAACAGGTATACTAAGTACATAGTGCCCATTGTACATCCAGACTGTGTCAGGGACAGAGGAAGAGAAGGAGAGATGAATAGAGAGAAACAGGAAGGAAAGAGTTCTTGTGTGGTTTCTTCTGTGGGTCTACATCTATGTTCCCATGTTTCTTCGTGTCTCTGAGGAAGTTTTCTGTGCTAGGCCATGATTTGTGGTGAGCTGCCTGAGGTCTGGGGCACAGAGAACATCAAGGATTTGCCTGATTGTGACTTTATATTGCAAAGTCAGAGGTCACTGTATTCCTGATTAAACCCTTTGAGCCATGCTCTAGTGTCTCAGATAATGATGCCCTGTTATGAGACCCCAGTGGAATATTGAAAAGCCTTCCAAATCCAAACAAATGGATCTCAAATGGTAAATAAAGTAATATCTATTTTTTTTAAAAAAAATTTTGGATTGAGGGCTTTTCTAGCATCTCCCAAATTATTCCATCTAGGCACTCACCATTTCCATCAGTGCCTAAAGGTCAACCTTGTGACTGGTACAGGCTAAAAATATTGCCATAAGTCCAGAGAAAGGACACTTTCTAATGAAACTAGAGCTCCAGGAACAGAACAGTAAAACAAAACTCTATCTGCAAACATAATAATGGCTGCCAGTTTCTAACACTTTGGGTCATGTGCTTCCTCTTGTACTTCAGATACATATTGTTTTTTCTCCAAGGAGCTCTCAGCTCCGGCTTCCATGCCTCCCTTCTCCTCCTTATTTTCACTTTCCTGACTTTAGAAAATGTTCTTTTGTAAAAATGCTATTAGAAACTGAACAAGCAGTCTGGGGAGTTCCTGAGTTCTTTAAGCAGAAAGTTGCTATAAAACCTTAATTAATGATTAGCTAATGAATGAATAATGTTATTCACGGTGCTTGGGCAGCCCAGGACCAAAGTTCTCTGACGGCATTTCATGGCTCTTTTTCTCAGAAATGCTGATCAGATACAGAACAACACAGCCAGCTGGGGAATTCAGACCTGGGAATGGCAACCTAGAGAAAGAACCAGTCAAATATACCAGCTCCACAGAGGGTATGTATGTAATCTTTGACCACCTAGTCCTACAACCTAGCCTGAATCACCTGCCCCTTAGTAGTAAAACCAGATCAGTGACTCCTGATGAAAAACTATACTAAGTTAGCCACAATCCAAAAGGGAAAGAAGATAGAATGAATCAGAGGAACTCTAAGAACTGGCAAACGTTAGGTTGCATTTCCCTTTCATGATCTAAGAGTTATTCTGACATCAGACATAGAGTAGAGAATCAGAGAATCATAGGATTTAGGGTTGGAAAAGGCCATAGAAATCATTTACCTTAAAGCCCCTTATTATGCAAACTAGGAAACTGAGGCTCACAGAATTCAAGGGACTTACCTAAAGTAGAAGAGCCGAGATTACATCCTGGTAGGGATTCCAACCTGGTGTTCTTTGCATTGAATCACCACATCAGTGGCTTAATGAGTACATGTTCATTATATGAAAACATATCAATATGTAGAATACACATATAACTTGTATTTGAGTGGGTCTTGAGCCTTGGCAGTAACAGACTGGGTTCACCTTGGAGGTTTCTCAATAATAATCTAATAATGATAATAATAATAATTATTATTATTATTATTATGAACAAAGTACCAGAAGCAAAAGTAACTGAAAATACTCTGTAACTGAAAAGACTTGTCTCTGATAAAAATCAACATCACAATCATTAACTCAAAAAAGTAGAGTTGTCTTACAAATTGGAAGCCAAGTCCTCCTGACCAGGTCCAAACAGATAAAAACACAGGATGACTCAGACCATTGCAAACAGTGATACATTCCAGCAGGTATTCAAGGCTGAGGAACATATTGCTGTAGAATCACCCCTTCCCCCCTGCCTTGCCCCAAATGTAGTTCAAAGTTCTTCTCTTCCATGAAGCCTATCTAATTTTAAACAGCCCTGCTCACAGGGCATGAGTCTTTCTAGTAAACCTCTCCCTGTCCCAATGCACAGTTGTACATTTAAAATCACTTATGTTTGACATAGTTATTCCATTGTTGCATATAGCATCATTTATCCATTTCCTATGTTTATGGAATTATATAAAACATTGAAATAAAGATAAGCTTATCTTTTGGCACACACACAAAAAAGTTCATCCTAGCAAGAAAGAATTTTCACTGAAGGAGAAAAAAATATCAAATGAAGGTAAGATGAATCAGAGCTCTGAAGATTTGCCCTTTCAGTATTCCTCACTGCATAAACCTCTCCTGAGATCTGTGACTAAGGAAAGTCTTCTGAATTAAAGCTTTCCAGTTTAAAAAACCAAGACTTACAAAGTCTCTGTAGTTTGAAGGAAAGCCTTTTGATTCTGGGCCTGAGGTTCAGAGCTCCTTCTGAGTGATTAGGACTATCAGTGACTCTGCTCAGCAATTTGATAAGTACATGCTCATTATATGAATACATATCAACTAAGCAGAAGATATATATAATTTGTATTCAAGTGGATTTTAATCCTTGACATAACAGACTGGGTTCACCTTGGGGGTCTATCAATAATATTTTTTATATCCTTCAGATTGGGAACAATAGTATTTGGTTAGCATCTCCTAAAAAGCCCTCAGTTGCCTGCCCTAAAAGCACCCCAGCTAATAAGACATTGGATATAGGACAGGTTTTTATTTAATCTGATACCCTGCTCCCCCCAAATATAGATTGGTCTTGTTCCTGAGCCCCTTGACAATTAGTAAACTGTTTTCTACCTTTTCTGGAAAGGATCAAGTAATCCTTCCTTCTGCACCTATACATTCCAAAGGGCTCATAATACCAGCAAAGAGCTGATGTCTGGGTTGGTTCTCAGTATGTGTTGCTCTGCCACACCCATTCCTCTTCCTCTTTGGATTGTGTGAGGCACTCTCTTTCTCCTCTCTCTGTGCCTTACACACACACACACACACACCACACACACACACACTTACATTAAAGTTGTGTCTTGGTATTTCTGCCTGGGGACAGGTCCTAAGTACATGTGGTTCCCTGTAGAGGCTTGATGGATGCCTAGGCCTCTCTCAAGGCAAGGTCCACAAGTATCCTGTCATGTTTATTATTTCTCTGGAGTCTACATGTGTCTATATCTTTTTTTGTTCTTTTTAAACATTTTTATTATTTCTGCTTTTCTGCATTTGGTTGTGAGGTTTTTATGTCCTAATACATGGTCAATTTTTGGGTAAGTGCCAAGTACTGCTGAGAAAAAGTATATTCCTTTCTATTCCCATTAGATTTTCTCCAGAGGTCTATCATATCTAACACTTATGGAATTTTATTCACCTCCTTAACTTCTTTCTTGTTTATTTTTTTGGTTAGATTTACCTAGTTCTGAGAGGGGAAAGTTGAGGTCCCCCACTAGTATAGTTTTATTATCTATTTCCTCCCTCTATTAACTCACTCAACTTCTTCCAAAATTTAGATGCTATGCCATTTGATGCATATATGCTTAGTATTGATATGACTTCATTGTGTATGGTACCTTTCAGCAAGATAGTTTCCTTCCATATCTCTTTTAATTAGATCTATTTTTGCTTTTGCTTTGTCTGAGATCATGATTGCTATCCCTACTTTCTTTGCTTCAGATGAAGCATAATACATTCTGCTCCAGCCCTTTAACTTTACCCTGTGTGTATCTCTCTGCTTCAAATGTGTTTCTTGTAAACAATATATTGTAGGATTCTGGTCTTTAATCCATTCTGCTATCTGCTTCTGTTTTATGGGTGAGTTTATTCCATTCACATTTATAGTTATAATAACTGTGTATTTCCCTCCATGCTATTTTTCCCTTGTTTACCACCCCCCTCTCTCTTACCCTTTACTTCTTATTCCCCACACTTTCACTCCTTACAAGTGTTTTACTTCTGATTACTGCCTTCTTCAGTCTACTCTCTCTTTTATCAGTTCCCCCTCTCCCTTCTATTATCCTTTTTTCCCTTCCTTATGAGGTAAGATAGATTTCTGTATCCAACTGAGTGTGTATGTTATTTGGCTCTTTGAGCCAGTTTTGATGCAAGTAAGGTTTAGAGCCATTTTTACAGGTATTTGAAGGGGTTTGGGGGAGAGCTCAAGCAAGTCACTGGTTTTACTCCATCATCTTCCAAAGTCTTGTCTTTTTTTTTTTTGGGTGAGGTAATTGGGGTCAAATGATTTGCCCAGAGTCACACAGCTAATTAGTATTATGTGTCTAATTAGGTCCTCCTGACTCCAGGGCTGGTGCTCTATCCACTGTACCACCTAGCTACCCTGCAAGTAAGTTTTAAGCTTTGCCTGTCACCACCCTCCACATCTTCCCCTCCATTATAATATCTCTTTTGTGCCTCTTTTTGTGGATAATTTACCCCATTCAATCTTCCCCCTCCATCTTTCAGTGCAATTTTCTTTCTCACCCCTTTACTTTATTTTTTTTTGGGAGTATCATCCCATCAAAGTTACCTTATATCCACACACTCTGTCTATATAAACTCCTTCTGATTACTCTTATAGTAATAAAGTTCATAGGAGTTACAAATATAATCTTGCCATATAGAAATACAAAGAGTTTAACTGTATTGAATTTTTTATATTTTCTCTTTCTTGTTTCTTTATTACATTATTATGTTTCCCTTGAGTCTTCTATTTGGAGGTCAAATTTTGTATTTAGCTCTGGTCTTTTAATTAGGAATTCTTGAAATTCCTATATTTCATTAAATATCCATTTTCCCCCCAGAAAGATTATATTCAATTTTGCTGGGTAGGTGATTCTTGGTTGTAATCCTAACTTCTTTTCCTTCCAGTATATCATATTCCAAGCTCTCTGGTTTTTTAATGTGGAATCTGCCAAATCCTGTGTAATCCTGACTGTAGTTCCATGATATTTGAATTGTTTCTTTTTGGCTGTTTGCAGTACTTTCTCCTTTATCTTTGAGCTCTGGAATTTGGCTATAATGTTGCTGGGAGTTAGAGGGAAGTTTGCTTTGATGATTTCTTTAAAGATGTTGTTCAGGCTTTTTTTTTTTTTGTCATGGCTTTCAGGTAGTCCAATAGTCCTTATATTATCTCTCCTGGATCTATCTTCTAGGTCAGTTGTGTTTCCAATAAGAAATTTCACATTTTTTTTTACTTTTTTGATTTTGTTTTATTGTGTCTTGATATTACATAGAGTTACATTGAGCTTCCATTTGCTCAATTCTAATTTTTAAGGAATTATTTTCTTCAGTGAACTTTTGTGCTTCTTTTTCCATTTGGCCAATTCTATTTTTTAGGAAGTTATTCTTCTCAGTAAATCTTTGTATATCTTTTCCATGTTATTAACTCCTTTTTCATGATTCTTTTGCATTACTCTCATTTCCTTTCCAAATGTTTCTTCTGTTTCTCTAATTCACTTTTTTGAACCCTTGTTAAGCTCTTCCAGAAATTCTTTTTGGGCCTGAGATCAAATTACATTTTTCTTTGAGGCTTCATATGTAGCCATTTTGACACTATTGTCCTCTTCTAAGTTTATTCCTTGATCTTCTCAGTCACCATAGTAATGTTCTGTAATTGAGGTCTTTTTTTTTTTGGTTCATTTTTCTGCCTTTTTGTGACTTGGTGTTTTTATATGAAAGTTGGTCTCTGGTTCTGCACTGTCCCAAGCTTTTTGTGCTGGGGCTCAGGGTCCAACTGCTGGCTTTCACTGGGCTTCAGGGTTTAGCTGATTGCTTTTCCTGGAGGGTAGGTTATCTTTCTGGCTTTTACTGGGGAGTGGAGACTCCCTATTAGCCTCCCTTGGTTGTGGAGTTTAACTGCTGTCCTGCCCCAGAGGTAGGGACTGTTTGCTGGGTTGCTATTTTAACAGTCTTTCTGGTGGCGAGCCCTGGGGCAGTGCTTCACAACTAGTCAGCATTTGGGGTGAAGGCTTCAGTGGTGGTTTGTGCTAGGGGTGAGGTCACTGGGATGGGGTCTTACTGTGCTGCTCAGACTACTCACTTGCCTAGGGGGTGGCTGGTTTGCAGGTGGGAGGGGTCTCACTGGTGGATTGCCCCCAGCTTGGAGCCTTCCTTCAGGCCCTCTGCTGTATGACTGGCTGCTACTGCTGCTGCTCTTGGACCTCACTCCCCTCCCACTCCAGTGAGACAAATCTCTCCTGATGGGCTGGTAAGCTGCTTCCCCCCTCCTACATCAGTTCTGAGGCTGTTTTCTAATTGTTGGAGGGAAATTTGGAAGGGCTTCAGAGGGTTTCTTCCTCATTCCTCCATCTTGGCACCACAAGTCTCATCTATGTCTTTTAAAGGTCAAACCCAAGGTCCAGTGGGGTGTGTGAATGGTCATTCATAAGATGTTGTTTCCCTGGTCCTCAAAGATATACAACTTTGAAAGGGGTGAACTTGAATCAATGCTGGAACAAAAGCTGTGTCCCATAAGGATTCAGGACAAGGATAATTCATGTCTCAGAGAGATAATTTATACCTTATTCAGGAGACAAGAGTGAGGAGTGGGGAGACAAGATGGGGAGGGGGAGTGACAGGCAAAGCTCAAACTTTGCTAGCATCAAAATTGGCTCAAAGAGGGAGTAACACACACACTCAGTTGGA